CAACATTTTTTAATCGCTGAAAAAAGTTCATTTTCATGGGATTGCACGCCATGATTTGTGGAACGTAGGAAACAGTGAAAAAGTCGTCATACAATGATGGTAAAATAGGAACCGAAGGGGGTCCAGGAAAGTAGTCGACACGTCTTATTCCCAGGTAGTCATGCACGATGGGAGAACAAAAATTTGCGACGTCCGCAACAAGGAGATCAAATCCTTTGAACGAGTCCAGTAAATTTGTATCTTTAAGTAAAGCTTCACAGCTGATTTGCTGAAGTTTTGGCATACTATCTTTACTGAAAATTATGGTTGCTATGGATCCGTTGATGACGTTACTGATCAGTTTCTTCTCCAGGAATCCTTTTTGGAGTGGGACTTGATAAATGGCGTGCTTTACGTGGTCGAGCTGTTTGATGCTTTGCGCGGAGTTGACTACAATTGTGACCTGAAATCATAAGTGGATTGATTACTCAATTTTAAGGCCCGTTTACACTTGCGATTTCTTTCTGCGCGATTGTCGCGCAGATGGTTACGCGGCCATCGCCTGAGTTTCGAACTGCTTGAAATTTCGATCGCCGCAACAATCTTGGGGGCTGTTTACACGTAAAATTCTGAGTACGCGATAGCAAATCGCGCTGCAAAAATTGCAAGTGTAAACGGATCTTTACAAGCCAAAGCGCCATCTAAAAAGGTAACGGAACCTGTACATCAACAGGAGTTGAGCCTGCAGTCATGTTGTCACCTAAGACAATTATTTACAGGTATCTATCATTGCAATCTCAACTACTGTCTCGCTTTGATGTAAAGGCTGGGTTACTTTTCAAGATGGCGCGACGACTTCGGCTTCGGTAACTATTCGGAATAGTATTTGTTCGGGAAATTTCGTCATTGCTCGACAGTATTATGTTATAAGCCGAGAGAGAGACTTCGTCCAAGTCTACTTCTCATCTGACCCGTTTCAAGCCGTTTAATAATAATGTCAGGTCAACTAAATTAAGCCGTTAGTGTGAAACCATTACTACCAATCATAAGAACGACCTTATAGCACTTCCTAACTTTGATAGAAATCCTTTGACAATCTCAGAAGTTACAGGACTTTTAAATTACACCAAATTATCAAGTGTACCGAATTCACCTCTGAAAGCAACCGTGCATGCCTTTGTTGTGTAGCGTTATGCTTTGTAATTCTTTAAGGATTTAGCCTCAAACTTGCATGGTTAATTTGCTACTTCTTAATGTTATGATGCTGTGATTTTCAGTTGTGGTCACGGTTTGTTTCTAATATTAAACTTCGAATGGCTGGGTCAACCATTGCCTATTGTACAAGAGATGTATTTATGTAAATTATTACCTCATGACCTCGCTTAGCAAGCTCTTGTGCCATGTTTTTCATCGCTAAATAGGTACTTCCAGCAAACATCGGTAACATTACAATCTTTTTYGAGTGTACCATTGCTAACATAGCCAATAAAATTAAGATTGAGGAGACTAAAGGTCGTAAAGGAGCCATGTTGTAGAGCTTCAGTCATGCAATGATTGCGTGACAKCGCAAACATGTCACGGGAATAATTTTAATTAAAATTAAATTAATTAATTAACTAATTGTAATTAATTAATTAATTAACCGTATTGACTATATTTCCGGAGCGAATTAATAATGATATTATAGTTAAAAAGACCAAAAAACCGAAAATTGAAGACTTGATAGAACGAACGCAATACTCGCGTGACATCAGAACCATGATGCTTTGCAAACGGCGATACCAATGGAGCGGGACAGTAACATGACAATGCAGAGGAAAAGACGCTGAAGAATAAATGATATATATTGATGATAAAAAGGGAAATAACTTGGAGATAAAAAAATGCCCAATGAAACTGATGACTTACAATTTCTTTGTCCTGGAACAAACATTTATTTGAATTCTTCTAAGTAAGACTGGCTTAAATGAGCATTTTATAASCAACTAGAAGTCACACTGTTTCGACTCAATAACTTCCTATGATTACAGATGGTCATGTGTACGAGTTACATATCCTTGCTTAAAATTAAGTTCTTAGTGTGTTTTTTGTTTCCTGTCTCGTCGACAGCAAACCCAGCAYATTAATCGAACTGTGTACTTTATCACCATAATCACCACCAAAACTACCAAGACCAGGAACACTGCTACATCTACCAGGAAATACTGGTACCAGGGAAGTTGAGTGGAGTACGGACGTAGATGTGCGAGACTCTCGTGTCTAAGGGTGTACTCTATCCAGTCACCAGCCTCCTGGACCGGGCTTCGTGGGCGGTCACTCAGCAGACGTGAAAACCGTTGTGCATTTTCTAGAAAACTGTGCAGAAAGAAAGAAGACAAAATGTTATCAAATGTCATGGTAAAAGGATTTAAAATGTTGCTATATCGAAGATACTTGTATCGCGAAGAACTTCAAAGCTTTTTGATGTAATATTGATCGTTTTTTTTTTTGAGATTCAAAAGATAAAAAAGCCGGTAGCCATGTTGGAGGAATGAACAATAGATACTAATGAGAAATCCTCATTAAAGTTCCTCCAAGATGGCCGCTGTTTTTTGTAGTGAAAATGAAGAATTATTGTGCTGAAAAAACGTTCATACAACAAAAAGAAAGTAAAAACAGTGAAAAACCTTGGTTCGTTGATAACTCTTTGTATCTTACTGCATAGATCGTCAGCAGTGAATGTTTTGTAGTCAGCAATGAGTGCAACACCTCTCTCTTGCAATCGAAGTGCATTTTCAAACTGGTCCCCATATATGGGCATAGAAACCACAGGAACCCCACGGTACAGTGATTCACAGAGACTGTTCAAACCAGAATGAGAGACAAACGCTCGCAATTTCTCATGGGCAAGTAAGTCATTCTGTGGCAGCCAATCAACAACCTTTATGTTATCATTCAATGATGATGGGATGTATCCTGAAATCGAAAAGAATGAAATATCCCTAATAGTCTCCTTCGCAGTTCTCTGCGCCATCTTGAAAGGTAGCCATGCCTTTGAATCAAAGCGAGACGATCGTTTAGCGTTTAATAAGTGAAATCTGTGAATAATTGTCTGTAGATGGGAAAGAAGGTTTCTATCATTGCATGCTCAACGTTCCTCTCGTTTCAATGCAAAGACATGGCTACCTTTCAAGATGGCGCTGGCAACCGCGCAACAACACATGTTCTTGCAAATTCCCCTACCTTTTAGTCTCCAAAACACTTTCTGTTTCAATCTACCAAAGGCCTCAGCCATGATGTCAACTTTGTCTTTATCCAACACTGAAGCCACATTGGATCCAAAAGACACGATAATGGCTCCGTCATCACCAGAGCTGTCAATCATCTGTTGAAGATCAGCTGGTAGTGGCTGGACAGGCTGAATGTTTATTGGTCCTACAATCTTGTAATCTGTTTTGGGAAATACAAAATTCAAATGTGCATCAATAATAAGTATTGCTTGCCAAAACACTCCGGTTAATGTGATTTAAGAAATTATGGTTTATTGTATAATATAAACCCTAAAGAAAGGTATTGTTAATACTCCATTAACGACTTCCAAAAATGGCGCGATATGTCACGGTCGACGACCAGGGCACTGGGGAGAAGTACTAAAACGAGGACTCAAAGGCCAGCCGTATAGTAAACTTCAATGGTGTCTTGCAAGAGTGTTTTGTTATATAAATAAGATACCAATGCATCTTTCAGGACTTTTGGACACTACCTACATGCGATCTTCGTAGTGATTTCTTGATGGAAGGCCTTTGAGGTCTCGTTTCCATGATTCGTCACTAGTCCCCCGATATTGGCGGTCGTGAATTACCGCCATTTGTCGTTTATGCTTGCTATACTATCGTTGCCATAGTGCATATGACGTCATACCTGGTCTGATTGGCTGAGCATGATTATAAGCAAAGTCCGCTAGAAGTAGCGTCAACTCTTTGTCTTGGTAGGATTCAAAATAACTTTTCTCTGGCTTGATTCTGTATTTTAGTTTCAAATCTCGAAATCCTCGAAAAATGAAATCAAGCTGCCAATGGCAACATAACTCGGAGATTGTAAGAGCTGCTTTTGCAAGATGGTCAGCTGTATTTTGAGCATTTTATTAACACATTAGATAAGTTATTTACAAAAACATGTAAATACAGTAGGTGATCATAAAAAATCAGAACAATAAGATCAGAACAGTATTGGGAAAATGCAATTCAACATTTAAATTGGATTAAAAAAATAGTATTAACTAACAAGATAAGTGAAAAATTAGTGAAAAATTTGAGTAGCTAATGCCTTCATGTATTGAAAGAACAAGTGAATTGGTATATCATAACTTTGTTTTGAGCTCCTTTGTTGAAGTATGAAATCCACATTGTTCTTTTGATTATTCTTTATGCTCTTGATTTGCAGTTTTGCAGAATTATTCCAGTGCTTTTCTTCCAATCACTGTTAAGCGGATTAAGGTTGATTGATAAAAATATAAGCTTATTAGTTCAGAGAGACATCGAAATTTATAAAAGGAAAAGCTTCAGCTTAGTTACATGTAAATTAACAACGGCGACATAAAGTTCGAAGTGTCTGTCTCAACTTACATGCCCGGCTGCCGTGTAAATAGTGGAAGTCAAAATGTCCGTTTGCGAAAAAAAAAATACAGAATTACTGAACAAAAGTCCTTGGTTAGCTCTAGCTTAGGTTTAGGGTAAGGTTTGGGTTGGGTTTAGCGATGAAATTAATGATTTAGTCTCGGTACGTAAGCTAATTATTTGAAAACAATGAATACTCACGGGCAGGTTGACACAGCCTAAAAAGTTTGATTTGTAATTCATATGATAAACTTAAGATTTAAGTATGTCATTGCTAAGCTTTGTACATTATTATCTTACCTTGAAGTCTAAAGCGGAATAGAAACCGTCCATTTGCTTGAAGTTTATTTATAAGGCCGTGAAAGCTACTTTTAGCAGAGACGCCATGTTGACACGTACTCGAAGCGAAAACCCAGTCAAAACTTATTGCAATCGGTACAATNGCATTCTTTGGTTGTCAAATATTGCCAAAATTACCTTGGTAGGTTGGAAAATCTGCCACAGATGGACCAGGAAGCGATCTTACAATGGTGTCTCCAGTTCAAAACAAACGGTGACTTGGAGCCATTGTATTCGAAAAATCGCTTTCCACCTCTGATTTCTTCCAGAAGATTGTCTCTGCCGACTAGTCAAGCTAAATTAATGATGCAAGCTTAGGGGCTCCTGTGGCAGTAAAAACCACTTATAAACGGTTTTTAAGGTAAATTTTAGGTTTGACCGTTCGATAAACAAACGATCCGACCTAAATTTACAATGAGTTGCATAAATTAACGCTCCCCAATATTCCATCATCTTTTTATAGTCGCCAAAATGCTCCAAAATCAACAAATAAACACCCGTCGTCAAAGGGTTAATTCCAAAAACGAGGGAGACGTGATCAGTGTTTTTTCGCAAGATTTGTTAAAATTTCGGTTGGGGCTAACATATGATTAGAGTTAGGACTGTTSTCTTAGGGTTAGAGTTGACATTTGACTTAGGGTAAGACTTGTCCTAGGGTTACATTGGAGCTTGTGACTAGGGTTTTGACCTAGGGTTAGTCACGTGACCAGTCGTCGCCAATAAAGTCAAACTCCATAGATGAGATCTGCACACAACATTAACTATGCTCGACTACCTTAAGTCCCTTTGCTATGCATARACATGAAGACGACCACCCCCTAAACTTTCACTTTTGTGCGGTTTGCTAAATATGCCATAAAGACTAGTTTATAAGACACTTACCCCCTAACTCTGTACTGCCTGCACATAAGTCCATATACATAAAAGGAAATTATATTATAGTCCTAAATCTTAAATTCGTATTTGTTTATTACTGAGTTTTCTGTTTCTAGTCTCGTCGACAGCACATCCAGCATATTAATCGAACTGTGTACTTTATCAACATAATCACCACCAAAACTACCAAGACCAGGAACACTGCTACATCTACCAGGAAATACTGGTACCA